TTGGTCATTACCGTCAAGTGAGCTTTACCATACCTTTGAGATTTCGGAGGTTTTGCGTGTCAGTACGAACGTTTATGTGTTCCAGGTCTGGCGTCCTAAGAACCGTTGGTGGCGTAAAAGCATAAGCTCGAGTTCCGACTCATATAAACACGGTTATCGCCGACTACGCAATCACGGCTGGCGCAAACTTCTCAAGCGCGGTAACAACTTACCAGTTGGTATAGGTTCCATAAAAGTAAGTATCGAAATTTCAGTGTGGTGGTAGTCACTATCTGCATTCTACTGGTAACGGAATCTCCAGTTCGTGCTCAATATATCTGGAGAATGGTGTTTCACTAATGAAGCCGTATACTTGTTCTGTGAATTGCAATTGTAAAATTAAAATGAAAGACTCGGAGAATTGTAAATTAACTTAGGTGCAACAAAGAAATATTGATGTATCGCACATGTATCCTACTGTATGATTGTCCTCTAAAAAGAACCTAGGAGGTGCTAGTTTATATTCATAGTTACCGCCAAATTGTGGTGTGCTGTTATACTGCCTATCTTGAAGACGATTGATTCGCGATTGCATGTCGTGGGCAGTCCCGTTCAATCACAGTCCTTCAGAGCTAAGTCACTCTCTACAAGAAAAACGCAAAAAAATCATGAAGAGCACCCTGTGTAAGGACCCCTGGCAGCCGCACTGCATGAGTTCTCCGACCTGCTCGTTTTGTACTAGCGAAGAGCTATCCTGCAGCAATGCAATGATAATTCATCGCTAATGCCATCTAACAGCGAAGAAAAAAAACGCGAAGCACGGTGTAAGAACTAAGTCCGTCACAGAAAATAGCCTTAGAGTTTCGGTGGGCAGGAAAACTAGAAAGGCGTAAGGACTAGCACTTAGGAGCCTCGCACCGCCTTCGTTACTCATTCCGAAGCCGCAGAGTTAGGACAATCATAGATACCAGACTACTTGACCAAAAAAGGGCACCTACGGATTTTCGGAGTGCGCGGACTGTCTCTAAAGGCTCGCTCCGCAATAAAAAGCCTAGGTGATGTTCCAGAAATGTGGAAGAAAATTCGCCAAGTGAATGGAGATGAAATGCCAGTGAAAACGTTGGATACGCTTTCGTCAGTCCTCTTCTAGTCTCTAACAACTGTGGGGTAAAAGACCGAAAAGACCGCGCGCTGGGACGATTCTGTCGGCTGATTCCCAGTAATGAACCCTATGACTCTACAAGAGACATTGAATGCATCCAC